CATCATCTTCATCATCATCACGTATAATTTCCACTAGTATCTGGCGAAAATGCCGCTGTGTCCGAGATTTCGGGATTGTGTAATGAGTTCTAATTTCGAAATTCAAAGAAACGAACAAAATTCAGACAAGGAATATAAGAGAAAACATACTCCAAAAATAAACATCTTGCAAACTCAAGATATGAGCTGTTAAAAAACAAAATTCAATATTCAAGTGATATTTGCACTCTATTTCAAAGTCATTGTCAAGGTTTGACAATGACTTTGAAATAGAGTCCAAATATCACCTTGAATATTGTGTCTTGTTTTTTAACAGCTGATATCTTGAGTTTTCAAGATGTTTATTTTCGGAGCAGTGGCGTAGCCAGCCGGACGATTTTGTCCCGCAATGTAAATTTCGAGTTATCATAATTATTCATGTCTTTAGAAATCTATTGTTTTCACACTCAGTGCATGAACACTGAATTATTAGCATAGCGGACAAATCGACAGGCTGGCTACGCTACTGTTTCGGAGTATGTTTTCTGTTATATTCAGTAGCGTAGCCAGCCTGACGATTTGTCCCGCTATGCTAATTTTTTGGTGATCATTGACTGTGAAGACAATAAATTTATAAAGAAATGAATAATTGTAATAACTCGAAATTTACATAGCGGGACAAACTGATCGTCAGGCTGGCTACGCCACTGGTTATATTTCGTAAAATTGTCTGCTGCGGAATAGGTTTTCAGACGAGGAAACCCAAAAAGAACGCCCATCATCGTTACAAAAGTTTGTATTTTCAGAATAATTCTAGGCAGGTTTATGAATGCATTTTTATTCGGCGGGAACACTATCTGTGGTGTCTTTACTTTTGGTTACATCAACGCTCCGAAGACGACAGTTCTGAATCTGAGGTATGATTTTTCTCCTTTCAGCAGCCCTTTCCGAGCTCTCAGTTAGGTCCCAGTTAATTGATTCTTCCGTTATTTTGTTCTAGGAAATAATAGTATTTATTGTTGTAGTATATATGCACGTAGTATATTTTAATAACGCAATTTTAAGAGGCTGTTTACATAGGCCCTGAACATGCATCACAAACGTGAATGCTTTTGGGGTATAGTCTAGGACTTGTAAAGGAGTTTGTATGCATTTCATTTAGGACAGATTATCTCAACTGTTTTAGGGTAAAATGACCATGGCGGTCAACATGGCATATGTGCCAAAATGTGAATCCGGGACGAAAGTCCTGAAAATGACCACACCCAGAAACGGCATAATCGACATAGCTCTAAATCCTGAATTATCCAAGCTACAGACTTTCTGAATTGTTTATATGGTTCAGAATGGTTGCTTTTAGGGGTGGTCACTGGAGGGTGAAATTAGCCTAAGTTTCATATTTTACAAGAAAATGAATGTGTATTCCAGGTCAACTGCTAATTATGCATAAAATTACAGATTCACCTGGCAAAGTCTAATTTTCCCTATTTTCTAAAAATTTTTGCCATATGATGAAAAAACATGCTTATTTTAATATATTTATTATAAATTTCGTAGGAAATAACAATGTTTTGTTGCGATACGACATATTTCATTTCACTTACCCCCCGCTATAACACGATTTCAGCCATATTTTGCAAATTTGATCGCCGTTTTTCGCCGTCCGTCGCAAGCATATGCCATGTTGACCGCCATGGTCATTTTACCCTAAAACAGTTGAGATAATCTGTCCTAAATGAAATGCATACAAACTCCTTTACAGGTCCTAGACTAGTAATGAAAAAAGTCTTTATGAAACCAAACATTTACTTGCTTATGTGCATACACCATGATCATGTTTTGTCAATGAATGCAGTTGCTTGAAACTGCAAATTTATCATTTTAACCACGATTCGGGAAACATCACAGATATGAGTTCATCAAATTAAAAGAGAATTTGTACTCTAAATTAGTCCTTCCAGCGGCGGTTAAATTATTTAATTTTTGTGGGACATTCTTTGAAGCGTCAGATTGAATATTTTCGTAAATGACAGCAAAGTAAGAATATATTTAATACATATAGATTCGGGTCTTATTTTATAAATATCGCTGCTATTTCGCCGTTTAACAAGATGTGGTCGTGTATGGGCGCCTTGGCACGTCACAGTTTGCACAGGATTGAAGATTTAATATTCCAAAGTTTAAGATAAAGTGATCGTATCATGCGGTTTATTTACATTTTTCAACAATGAACTTCTATACTTTTTAAAGTACGATGTGCCGGCTGAATTTGAATTTCGCGATCGAACGTAACAACATTTAGGTTCGCAAGGCATCTATAAATGAGTATGAACTGTATTGTTTATGTTCAGGGGGCGGTTGCTCAAAAGCAGGTTAAATTGAGCCCTGGGTTAGTGCTAAACCTGGGTTAAAATTCATTACCTAGGTTAGCTAAACCTGGGTTAAAACTGTATTGTTCAAAGCAGGGTTAGCGGTAGGGTTAGTTAACCCAGGGTTAAAATATTTAACCTAAGATTAAATGTATTTTAAGGACTAAATTGGATATGAGAACGTTTTCGATTGGTCAATAAACGAGCGTCCAAACTTTACCCGACGAGGATATATTGTCAGTCGAAAGATTTTATGCCGTGAGGGCAGGGTCGCAGGGACGTTGTTTTGAACAGCAATTTCCGTGCATGGAATTTTGGAAAGATTCGAAATGAAAGGCCATTTTGTATGATAAACAATGTCGATGTGAAATAAAATTAAGCAAATTATAAACAATCTATTTTAAAATTTCAGGCATTCTTGGATTATTTAAAATTCAGGAACAAACGTAGCCTTACCACTTGCTGCCAATCAAAAGAATCGAATCCGAAACAAATATTGCATGCGGTGTTACCTTTTTAATTATGCATTTTCAAAATTTGTATTTCAAATATGACGGATTTCACATGGAGCGTAATAAAAATTAATTTGATTTTACTGCAAAAATATTGCAGCCACCCTGCCATTGAGTGGTTCGGAATAACCCCCTTCCTGAATCTTGCAGTATATTTAATGTTCTCAAAATTTCAGTTTGGAGTGGATTTAAAAGAGGCAAGGTCCTGGCTAAATCCTAAAAACAATTCCCCTTTTAACAACGAAAAGTTTTATTCTTGGGGCCACTTGTGTGCATTTTTGATACACCTCTTAGTTCGAAACGTGTCTTCTTACCTGCGATAATTTCTTTGCTATAGCGAATCGATTTTTCCTGTCCGTAATTGAATGATACAAAATTAAAAATAGTTCACTGATCAAGGCAACAATAGTTCACGGGGACAAACAAACAAACCTGATAAATCAATATAAACAAACAAACAAACAAAGTAAAGAAAATAAAACAAACAAACAATATAAACAAACCGACAAAAAGTGAAGGAACCAACAAAACACAAGTAAACCAGACACCAAATATTAGATAAACTTGGATTTACTTCACTTTTTGTATCCAAACACAGTAGTCTATGAGGTAAAGTACATTGAGTAGATACCCCGGTTCACTTTCATTTAACAAATTTAAAATTTGAAGTAAACATTTCAAAATCCTCCTTCGATCTGAATAGACATTGAGAAAAACAAAATAACAGGATCACTCTCATATGTATATTACATAGTTCAGGTTGTCTCATAAAAACCTCTGAAACTGTTAAAATCATCTACTGTTAGAAGATTCTATGCCTCATGCAGAAATCAGCACAAAGCTCAGTGGCTCTAGCTCCTCGCTCCTCGCACATATATGCTGCATAGACAAAGTCGGGTGCGTAAACCAACGAGCTGAATTGAAAGTATTTAACGAGTAAAATTTTATTTACAATTTATTTTACAAGGTCGACAGTTAGCATTCCAGTTATCATGCACGACAGTAAAAACTCGTTGTTCGGTTGTTAGCTGCACCATTATTAGTTTAACTGATTTGACTATTAGCAGTTGAAATGCACGATTAGAAGCCATTTTAAAATCCCAGGGGCATAAAATCTATTGAGCTTATGAACAATATGAATTTTAGAATATTAAGTGGTTGCGTTTTTTTTGATACACCCTGTATAATATCATCAGTAATATCACTAACGAGGTGATAATAGCTTTAGTGCGCGGCGATTTTAGGAACTATTTTTGTCACTCAGGCTTTTTTCAAAAGACAACTGCATGTACAAGAATGAACATGCATAGCCAATCGATAAATACTTGATTTTTTATTTCGAAAACAAGACAGATTCATATATAATCCTGAATTATTAAAATGAACAACATGAACAACCATTCACAAGAAATTAACATTCCTGGGGCCGGTTGTATCAAGCCCGTTTAGCTTAAACGGTGGTTAAGTTCAAAACAGAAAGCAAGTCTGCCGTTTTATTCAACAAGCGAATTAAATGTGTTTGACGTTAATATAAAGATACTGTTTACAACTACATATTCAGTGCATAATATTCAAGTTGACTCATTCAAGAGAGTTGTAAGAGTGTTATTTAATTTTGACTTATCCACCGTTTAAGCTAAACGGGCTTGATACAACCGGCCCCTGCATGCATATTCGTTTGTTCTCGTTCTGAAGCGAAAGTGATCTGTGTACTTAATGAAAACTAAAACGACTGTACGCATGTGAAATATAAAACTTAATACCATGATTATATTACAATTAGAATCGAACAATGTGTGCTTAAATACAGAAGATATTAAATTAAGGTAAGTCTTGATATGAATAGATTAAATCAGGTTGTGACAAAGCAAAGGTTTATAAATATTGTTCAAACGAACGAGAATCGATCCGTGCATGTTTTTCTTCTTTCAAAATTAGATTAAATGCCCGACGCATTTAGTTTCGGCCATGTCTAGGCATATATTAAATATGATCTACAGGGTGTATCAAAAAAGGCAACCACTTAATATTCATATTGTTATTAAGTACAATAGTACATCTAACTATTGTTTACCTTTTTTTATACACCCTGTAGGTTAACCTAGAGTTGATATAAATAGAGGTATCCTCGGCTGTTGAGCTTTATAGTTCGTGAGAGCTGCAAAGAAAATTGTCCGAAGATAAGTATCAAATATAAGTATACTGGTTAGTGGTAAGTTCTTGCCTCGTTACTTGTAACAAGCACATGCAGCATTTATCGACACCAAATTCGATAAGCTTTTTCGAAATTGTTGCACTTTTAAGACGAATATATAGATAGTTGGTCTAATTAAACTTTGTTTTTTCCAGCCTAAAGAAATGGAATCGCCCAGCCACGATTTTAAATTAGTTCTGGGCAAAGAAGGTCCAGGACAAGGGGGACTGGTACTGGAGTCAACAAGGACTGACATCAACCCAGAGGAAAACTATGTCAGCGCGAATTGCCAAGATGGAAACTGGAAGTTTTCAACAATGAACACGGTTACATGTACGATTACGAGTATGCAACACTTTTGTCCGACTCTGAACGCTTCAAATATCTGCCGGAAAAGAAGCGTATCACTGCAGCTTTTACCGTCGACGTCAAAGAAGGTGGCCTTTGCGTGTTTCGTGGACATAATTTCTATGATAGGAACATGGTAAGAGCACACGAGAACTTTCTTTATTGAATATTCATCGACAGTTAATGGAATATACATAGTTTGGAGACTAAATAAAAGTACAATACAACTCATATATACGTATATACCAATGCCAATGGCATTCGTCTTGCTAAGCTCCTCAACCTTGACTTGAAAAATATGTTAATTATAAGATTGCTATTGGTTTATCTGTGTAAAATACAAAAGACATGAGATGAGAAAGGAACAATTTTTTGCATAAATCTAACTCAACACAGTTACTGAGTTGTATTGTAGTTTTATGTGGTCTCCATATGATGTATATTCTATTAACTGTGTTTGATCTAACGCGGACGTCGCTGATAATGTATCTCGTGATAAATTTAAAATTTTGCGTTGTTTTTGACTTTGCCTAGACTTTCACAGAGGTGGAAGCAGCTATTGCTGACCAGTTCAAACCCCTAACAAATGATGGTGTCTCCTCTTGCATTGTTTTTGAACCAAATTCCTGGGAAATGACCTATATTGTTGATGATGCAAGCATGACAACAGCCACAGTAACAGTGCCTCCAGGAAAGTATGACGACATGACTAAAGTTGGGATTAACAGCGACCGACTTGTCAGCGCACGGAAACTTCCTCTTTGAAAGAATTAATTTCAATATTCAACTGACTCATATCTCTAAATTGTAGTAGCACATATTCTACTTTAGATTTTCTAAACAACTGAGGGCAAGATTAAATTCATTCATGTTAAAGAACGTTTTAACTTTCGTAGTTTTGTAGCTAAGTAATGTGAAATCCAGAATAAATTTCAAGAATATATCCTAGAATAAATTTTGTATCTGTTGAAAGTTAAAGTTTTGTTGCGTTTATGAATATTTACGATATGAGACTAACAACTCGAACCCCCCCCCCTAAATGGACGTAAAACAGGCTTTGAAATTGATGCTGTCGGACGGATCATATAGAGATTTTAAGTAACACTAGAGGAGGCATTGGTATCGGAAACATCAGTCGAAAAAGGGAGCGCGTTAATGGGGGGGAAATTCAAGTCCCGGATGTTAAGCCAAGAACCTATTGTGGTATTCCACCACTGAGCTATACTTATAATTCCTGGAAGACTTGCTCTTGGCCAGAAGGCCCATATTACAGAAAGTAAAGCAAGAAACATGGCGGATTTTGAGCTTTGCTGACGCCACTTGGTTCCTTTTGCTCATAGTGGTTACCACTGACATACCGCGATACAAAGTGAAAATCAAGTCCGTCTCCCTCCTGGGTTTTCTGAAAATATTTTTTCGAAATTATTTTTTCGTATCTCATTTTTGTTTTTTTTCCCATTTTGGATGTAATACCCTAATTAGATCAGCTGGCTTTCCTACCCCTGCTAACATTCGAATATAATCAATTACAACAACACGCCGGATGTTAGAGTGGACGGGGCTTCAAACAAGCACATAGCATAATAAATGTATCCACGTAAAAGGCGCCCATCTTTTTGCTAGATATAACGAAACCAACCCTTCTTGCAGTAAACACTAACATAGTAACTAATCAAAATTACGTGGGTCTATTTCTTTAATTGTATGGCCTTGCATGCGGGATAGAGTTTTATATAATAACTACAATGAAACACGCAATTTGATTGGTTCATAGGCGTGCAGTATGAGACAATCCTGCACGGAAAGTTTACAATGCCGCTTTGCGCGGGAAATTTGACCGTCGTTTTATCGTAGTTATTTTATAAAGAAAATACTAAATGGTTTTTCGTGCAGGATTGCGTGATACTGCACTTGAGAAATTGCGAGACGTTCGGCACAGTTTAGAGATATATAACCTTAAACTGTGCTTTCGGAAAGCGCTTTCCGAAGGCTCGCAATTTCTCGCGTGCAGTATCACGCAATCCTGCACGGAAAACCATTTAGTATTCCTTTATTAACTTTAAAATTTTCAGAACATGCATAAAAAAGGTTTCACGGCAATAATAATTACAATAATAATAAAGATATAATAATAATGATGATATTAATAAAAGGTTCGTCGATACTGCAAAAATCCAAAAATATGCTCAAATGAGCATTAGAACACAAATACCTCATCGATACATATATACACAGATTTCATGAATTGATAAGAAGTCTGGACATTCCCGATGAAATTTCCTGTTCGTTGCTTTTATCTGTTGCCTGAGATGAAACTAATTCTTTGTTCTCATTGTTTATTGCTTTGTTTCCTTTCCTTTTGTCCAAAGAGACAACTTCAACGCCAAGGTTATTGTCACAGTTCACATTCTCACAACTACTTGAGCATACATTATTAACGTCATCATCATCATCATCATCATCATCTATAATTTCCACTAACGTTCTTTTTGCATCGGGATTTGAAAACAACAATAAGGACGGTACTTCCACTTTACGAAGGGTTTCCTCGTCTGAATTTTGTTCGTTTCTTTCAATTTCGAAATTAGAACTCCCATTACACAATCCCGAAATCTCGCACACAGCCGCATTTTCGCCAGATACTACATCATCGCTACAAAAGTTTGTACTTTCAGAAAAATTCAAGGCAGATTTATGAATACATTTTTCATCGGCGGGATCACTATCTGTGGTGTCATTACTTTCCGTATCATCATCGGTATCGTCCGTTGAACTCTCCGAGGAGGACAGTTCGGAATCTGAGGTATGGTTTTTCTCTTCATTGTACACCAGGACAGCAGCCGTTTCCAAGCTCTTTAGGTCCCAATTAATTGATTCTTTTGTTATTTTGGTCTTTGGAAAAGTAGTATATATTGTGACATATGAACGTAGTATATTTTAATAACATATTCTTAAGGGGCTGTTTACATGAGCCCTGTTACCCAAGATTAAACGAAACGTGAAATAATTTTGGCGTAATGAAATACGTCTTTATGAAAGCAAACATTTACTTGCCTATGTGCTTACACCATGATCATGTTTTTTACTAAATTCAATACCTCAAAACATTTTACTTTTAAATCTCGGCTAAGCGGGGTCATATATAAACAGCCCACAAAGCATGTATAAACCGGTTTATCAAGATTACAAAGGAGTCTCACGATGCATGAAAATCTAGGATGTATAAAAACAAGGAGAGCAGTTGTTTCAAACTTCAAATTTTATTATTTTGACCACGCTTCGAGAAACATCACTAATTGGAGTTAATCAAATTTGTACTCAAAATTATTCCTACTAGCGGGGGTTATTTTGTGGGACACTCTAGAGTCTGCTTGCGCCAAAAAATTGATTAGGTTAGATTGACAATTGAGATTGACAGGAAAGTTTGTTATTAGCTTTATCGACTGTCAAAGTTTCAAAATTTAAACGCGGTCAAATTCCTGAGTTCACTCATTTGCGACATTAGCTTATTTAATATGGGAGTTCGTGCATGCCGTGTAACCTTATTAACTATCCATTTTCGAAATTTGTATTTCACATATGACGGATTTCACCTCGAGCGTAATAAATACCGCGTGCATTTCATTTGGCAATTTGGCTGAATGGAATCTTATATCTTGTAAAAGGTCCATCAAATTTGATTCTACTGCAAAAAATTGCAGCCGCTACGCTTTTAAACTGGTTCGGAATAACCCCCCCCCTGGATTACCATTATTTAATGTTATCAAAATTTCAGTTTTGAGTGGATTTCAAAAAGTTAAGGCCATAAATCTTGAAAACAATGAACTTAATTTAATTTAATCATTTGTCACAACACACTACAATTATTACGCACATACATGTACAATAACAGAGGGCATAAGGGTGGCAGAGGAAAGAAACAGGACTTGCGTCCTAATTGACACCTGACCCCAACATTATAACTACAGACTTTGCCACTTGTTTCCCACCAAGCACATTGATAACTTTCTTATGCTTCGTGACATAATTCCCCTTTTAACAATGCTAAGTTTTATTCTTAGGGCCACTTGTTTGCATTTTTTATTCACCTCTTAAATTTGAAATTCTTACCTGCGATAATTTCTTTGCTAATGAGTCGACTTTCTTTTCTCTGCGATAGAATGATACAAAATTAAAAACAATTCACTGATCAAGGCAACAAAAGGCAACAATGCATGGTTCATGGGAACGAGCACATAAACAACCAAACTAACAAACAAAAGAACCAAAGAATGAAACAAACAAAATAAACAAACGAACGAACAAACAAACAAAAGAAACAAACAAACAAAAAGTGAAGGAACCAAGAAAACAGAAGAAAACCAGACACTAGATAACAAAAGAACTTGGACTTACTTCACTTTTTGTATCCAAACACAGTAATCTGTGATGTAAAGTTCATTGAGTAGATACCGCGGTTCACTTTCATTAAATAACTTTAAAATTTCAAGTAAACATTTCAAAATCCTCCTTCGACCTGAATGTTTGAGAGAAACAAAATAACAGGATCACTTTCAATGTATCACTTTCAGGATCACTTGTCTCACAAAAACCACTGAAAGTTTTAAAATCATCTACTGGTAGCATACGTATGCCTCAGGAATCATTACATATAGCTCAGTGGTTCTAGCTCTACGAAACGGCTCAGCATTCTGCAAACATGTTATTTATTACTCACTATACAGACATGCAAAACATCATGCTCGGCTAGACAAAGCTGGTATTGCACAGGGATCGTGATCGACTCGTTTTTCCAGGATGGAAAGAAAACATCGGGTTCAGAAATGGAAATATCCATCTCGAAGTTGCAGAAGAGGATATTGAAAATGCTTCATATAGGTGAGCATTCTGTTTACGCCCCTTGGTACATTCGTGGCGAACACTGGGGAACTTGCCACGCACACATGTAACTCGTGACAATTATCACCTACAGATATTCTTAGTTAAAATTTGAGATATACTCTGTCATTTGTGTCGCAAAAATGAGCACGAATGACATATCTTAATTTGGCCCCCGCAGACTAGGAATAAATGTAGTGACAATTGTCAGGAGTGACATGGGTGCGTGCTAAATTCATAGCTATTAAGTAGCTTGTATTTAACAGCTCAAAGGAAGAACATAGCGCTAAATATAGGGTAATTAAACTACTTGAAAGGTTTAAGAACTTACCATATTTAAAGATATCTTTAACATCTTGCAGAACTCGGCAACTCAAATCCCAATTTCTAAAGAGCGGGTAGGAAAGTGACCGACGAACACACGCGACTAACACATCTTCTACATTTGTGAATCTCTGTACATAAAGAAAAAATAAAAAAAGGAAAAGGTAAAAGAGTGATCAACCTGTTCATGCAACGTTGGATAAAAATGCAAACTTCGTCTGTTAGAAAGAACTTTTCTTGGTTATTAATAATTTAGTTTGTGCATCATTAAAAAGATGAAAAGGTGTTATAATTAAAATATTAATACCTCAAGCCACGATAAGGTTGGACTTAATTTTGAAATGGTCCACGCTGATTCAACCTGCAAACACGCGCAAGTGAACATAAGCCCCGTTTACACTACGCTCAATTTATTGGCACGGCTAAAGTGGGTACCGTTCCCAATTTTATTAGTGTTCGGCCTACCAAAACAAAGGCCGGGCACAAATGATCTGGGCTCGGGTACCCATTTTAGCCGTGCCGTGACAATAAATCGAGTGTAGTGTAAACGCGGCTATATTTAATGACAAACACAGGCAGTTTAATATTTTTTAATATGTCATAATGTGATTTAGGATCGTATCGTGTTGGTCCAGGTCGACTGTGGGCTATTGACATTTTATTAAACTCTTATAGGAAAAAGCCAAGACGGATTATAGCGATGAAGACTGGTACTTGATCACGAATCATTGCCTACGGAGAAGACTACAGATATACTGAACAACACATTAACTATAGTGTGACTGTTATTCTTACCGTGTTTTCGCCAAAGGTTGTACGTTTGTTATAAGCATACGCAAATATAATATCAACCAGGCTGTAGCAAACGAAATTTTCTTCTTTTTTTTCAAAAACATCTGATAAAATGTTAAGTTTAAACACATATACGTGTTTATAATTATACATAGCGGCAATTCTTTGACCATGCAGCAAAAAGGTTGAAACGTTAAATGACTCCAGTCGTTTCCTCTATACTATGTTTGCATGATCTCACACAGTTAATTCATAGAACACACAGCGAAGTCAAACAAGATTGTTCTTCAAAAAGCCTAAATTTCGAGTGAGCAAAGGTTGACAAGCAACCTCATACATGCTTAATTTAGCGTTCTATAGAACCACGCACGCGAAGACATTAGAAGCCCAATGCAATATCTTGTGCCGTTAGATGATCCTTAACTGTTCAGGCTCAACAAATTTCAATTGTATTTCCACCAGCATGGTTCTAAAGGATGCCGCAGGCGACTATTCTTAACCGGGGGAGGAGGGCTTGATGCATCCATGCAATATAAACATTGGCTTAAAAAGGATGACAAGAAGTATGGCCCGTTTTCCACTAGGCGAATTTATTCGCGCGACGGGAAGCGATATCAGAAATCCGGTGATGTGATTGGTTTGGGAAGAACTTCGCCGCGAAAAAGTAGAATCCCTTCATACTTTTTATCTGTTCGCGCGAATAAATTCGCCTATTCGAAAACATGCAGGCTTATAGTAGCCATTAGTGCCGCCTGACCATCAACAGGGAGTACAATCTAACATTAAGAAATTGGAGATTCCCTTTATAATAATTGCTGCTTCAGATATGTATAGTTTTACTGGTTTTTAAGCATTTCAATACGGGTAAAAACATGCCACGGCCCCCTTCGTGCAACGGTTCCTTAACCATAACTATTCACATCAAGTATCTTATATATCTTTTTAAGGATACACTCTCGATTTGGCAGCTGTTGAAGTTTTTTCTTTTCAATATCATCGAACGAAGCTAGAAAAAATTTCGGAAATTAGCATGAATAATTCTAATTTTCTGTCTATAGGTAAGCCAGTATATGCAAGTAGTAGTAGAAAACAGGCCGTTTAACACCGATTTTAACACAATGGTGGTATATCACGCGGCATGATCTTTGTTAAAACCTTTACTAATATTATACTACTTTATTGTGATCACCGATCACAGGAACGTTGAAACACAACTGTCCGAAATCAAGGACTTGCAGCGTTAGAAACCTTGAATATACCAAGATCATAGAATACATGGTTTCAAAAAGGATTAAAGTACAATACAATTTAGGCATTCGAACAGTCGTGGCACGTTGCATATATTACGTTACATATATTGAGAGGATACACAATGATTACGTGGGATCAGATGGGCATAGAACTAATTAGCTAGACGACGTATATGGGCCCAACTACATGAAGTATATCCAGCAAAATAAATTATTGTATTAATTGTGATTTTATTAATTAAAAAGTGCCATCGTGGATTATGAATTCTTACCTTCCTTTTCTGTAACATAATCCAAAATTTCTTTTATTCTTACATCATCAAACAAGTCTGCCCTGAAAAAATTATCCAAAGTTATTGCAATAGTTTAATTTCAAAGAGTGAAAAAATACCGATTGAACTGAGTTATGTAAGTTAAATTAGCCTGGTGGGGCCAGTGGCATAAAAGACTACTAATAATTTTAACTCTAGTTAAGGGCAATATTGGCCAATCAGACTTGTGTATTTCTGAGTTAACTATAGGATTTAACCATGCAAAATGTAGTTAAAGAGTCTCATACAATCGGCCCCTGGGGTAAAAAAACTAAGCACCGAAAAGAGCGATTTTTCAGAAAACGAAGGGAATTCCAATGATAGTTTTTATGTTTACTAATGTAACAGCTAAAGAGATCTGTACGACATTATAATTTTTCATTTGACATCATTTTCATTGATTCAACATACAAAGACAAAGTTTACTTTTGAATCGAACGAACTTAGTTGCTTAACTCAATCTATGATTCATTTGCAACTATATATATTAACCATATATATTTACTATACCATGCCTTGGGTGCATAGCTATCATGAAATACAATTAACAAGAACGGTGTTATCAAAGGTCGAGCAAGATGGCGGGGATTGTAAAGCACCTAATGATCGATGCACATTTGACGTACTTCAGTCAAACTCTTTCACTTACAGATAATGTTCTTCGTCAAATTTTTCATTCTCAGAGGCAATTCTCCCCAACCTTCGTTCACGATACGACAATTCATCTGGATTCGGGTTTTCCACAACATCTTTCAGTTCGTCCTAAAAATTCGCGAATTTAGAATTGCAACGTTTCCGGACTGTTTCCAAACGGCAAAATTATGTAACCACTCCAAATATAGAGGTTCAAAGGGTCTTAATTTCGAGTTGAATTATACCCACTTAAAATTCAAGCCAGGAAAGTTGATGGGAAAATGAGTCAACTATAGGTCCTCCGGCAGGAATCGAACCTACGCTTTTGCGATGCCGGTGCAATGCTCTTGCCACTGAGCTACAGAGGTAACTGACAAGATCAAGCGTGGTTAATGTGTATAGGATGGTAAATGCCGGGAATAGGTGAGGGTTAATTGATTATGATTTTTGGCACTTCACTCGACGTAGGTAAATTCTAGAGGTATATATAAGACCCTTTCAACCACTAGAATTTACCTACATGGAGTGAAGTGCTGAAAATCATAATTGATTTACCCACTCCAAATATAGTATGCATGGCGTCACAAATGCGGTCCTCACACAGAAAACGGAGCTCATCTGGCCTGATCATTGCCGCCAGAGTATCGGTCTTCATTTATTTATGTTACGATATGGGCTGCACCGCGGCGGAAGCGATAAATGGCCGGGGAATACACTGACCTGGATGCATTAGTACATTACTTCAGTTATGTGAATGTACATTATTATTATATACACCGGTCAGTGGGTGCAACCTTTCTTTTATCTTGAAATTCCTTAAATTTCTTGATATATAGTCACAACACATACATTCAAATAATTCAATCTAAAAACCATTTTATTGATTCTTTGACTTTTAAACGCCATTCACAACTAAGGAAAAGCGACTAAGGAAAACTCTCGGACGCGAGTAAATTTCGAAGTATTTAACTCGGCATAACTTGGCATAGCATATTTAACTTTCCAAGTAAATTTAGAAGTATTCAACTCTGCATAATTGCCTTACTTTTAAACGATGAAAAACACCAGATTTTTTGTTTCCAAAACCATATTTGCATCCGTCTACAACAAGTCGTTCTTCTTCCTGAAAATAAATTAAAACAAATTATTCTTGTCATCGCATGATTATTTACAGTATACTAGCCAGTACTGGAATCTTGTCTTTTTTTTAACTAAAGCTGTTTAAATCTAGTTAGACTGCCCTTACCTATTATTAAAACCAGATGGGGCTGTGTATGAACATCCGACAGAAACAAAGAATAGACATTTTAGCAGAAGTCTCACTCTTTGTATTAATACGCAAGAACGCGCAATCAAAATTGCACTTGGCATACCCAGTTTGTATATTGCTCACGCCATCCTGGTGTGTGCAGGAACTTTTTGATGGGGGTACAAAGTTCCTGCACATTCCAGGATAGCGTAGAAATTATGCGTGTGCTTCTGAAATATTTCCGACACAAAAACATTAGCAAAATGAGTGAGATTTCTGCTATAATGTGTATTTTGTGAAGAATGTGGCAAAAATTACCAGCTATGGTCACACGTTGATTCGTACGTAGCTACAACTCAAACACGACGTAAGAATGGCGAATAAATAGTGTGGTACATCCTAATTTGAACATTTATTCGTCATTCTCACGTCGTCTTTGACGTTCCCGCAGTGAGTATGAGTACGACTACCAGATTCGTCATTCTCGCGCGTTGTCTGCTTACGCCATCAGCCAAAACACGTAGTCGCCGAGTATGGTAATTTCACTTTGGTAATTTCATACTCAAAAGCACAACGTATAGGGGTTTCGTCGTAGTACGCAAAACGACGTAGGCAAAAGCGCGAGCGCAGAGTTTGGCGCGAGAATGACGAATCTTGTGCTCGTAGTCACAGCTAAAGGCCATGTTACACGCTGCAGTTTTTTTTGCAACTTGCAATGCACTTAAACTTTTAAGAGATGTAAATTAGTGAAGAGTCTATGGTGTAAGAAACGCCATGGAATGTTATAGTGACAAAAGTTTGGTAGTTGCCAAATTTACATCTCTCAAAAGAAGAATTGCATTGCAAGTTGCAGGAAAAATTGCACCGTGTAACAGAGCCTTAAAGCTCCCCGTTATTTACGTGAGAACGTTATACTACTTGTTCTCACCTTTTCGTCGTAAAATTCCTGACTCCATTCCCAGTCGAAATCCTCCTCATCGTCACTATTACTGGCTGCATTCTCAGACACGACCTCAATTCCAGGAGTTGATATGTTACACTTGCCAGAGGGAGCAAGCAACTTCGTTACGAGATCAAGGTCAGGGAAGTGTGCACCAGGTACTAGCTTCGGAAGTCGAACTGTGAATAAACCTATGATATAAACACAATATATCAGGTACATGTTCGTAAAACGATTAAATCCCCACTGCTAATCCGAACAAATCGATCTGAATCTAAACCCAAGCTAAACCAAATCCTGCATGTATCAGTCGTACAATTTAGCCAATAGTTGTGGTTAAATTATCAGTCGCATTGAACTATGATTCAACTAAATTAAAGGAAGAATCGTGTATAGACCAAGCCTGGTTAACGATTACTAAGGGTCTGTTCATATGAGACCTAGCTTGCTTTTGCTGCCCCCCTGATGTTTTTATATGAGCCTATTAAAGACGAGATCTCGCTTCGTTCGCGTGGGATCTCGCCAGAGCCGGGCTGGTCCGGTTCCATACTGTACGAATGTAATTTTACAGATAAATATTGTGTTCAACCATATGATTGGGTTTAATTTGCTTATTAGCTACTAACACTGGCCAAAATATCGAAGATCCGTAGTTTTGTCAAAATCCAGAGCAGTATGGTCAACTTAATACATTATTACCACATTCTGACAAAATCTAATATGGCGGGTTTCGAAGCATACATGGTAAAATACGATTTTTAGTCAATTCGATAATAGTTTTGGAAAACGGTGAACGCAAAGAGTCAGAAAGGACGCGTTTCGCTATTAAACGGGACGGAAATTTTTCATTTCAGCAGCAAATAAATTAAATTCTGAAAGAGCATTTTTAGAAATATCCGAATCAAACAAGTCAAAATGTAGTTTCTATCGGCAATTACAAACTGGTAAAATTTATAACATTGTCAAATTAGCGGCTTTTTAAAACTGAAAAATTCGTAAAAATCGGTTCGGGTTGGCGGATCACGTCCGGTGTGCATCGGCCTTTAAAGGCACTGTGCGCCTAACAAGAAAACGCGATGTACATGAAGTACCTTTATCAACATCGTAGGATGCGGATTCCTCGCCATTTTCAATAATTTTTCCAGGAAAATTTAACCTATATAATAACAGTAAACACACAATTTACATTTTCCAGTAGCTAAATGTTTAGTATGTGGCTTAATATCAGGGGGCGGTTGTTTTAAAGGCGTTTAGCTTTAGGCGTTCCTTTAGATTCGAACAGTTAGTATGACCCTGTTTACACTAGAACGAAAGTTTCCGGATTTGTTAAATTTTCCGGATTCATTGTTACACAATGTATCGGATTCGTTAGGTGTTTAATTACACTACACTTTAGTTGTCTCTGTATGCGAATTTGCCCGTTTACACTCACATTACTTGTTTTTAGAGAATTGTTTGGTCGTCATATTGAATTTCTTCGGATTCGTCGTGCAAAGCGTTTACACAAGAAAATTTTCCGGATTCAAATGTTTCTGGATACGAAGTTTCCACAAACTTTTACGGATTCAAAGTTTCCGGATACGGCTTAAAGTTTTGTCTTATTCACCAATGCGGCTTCGCGGCCGCGCTTACTCACTTGGTGATTCATAGACCCCGTTTACACTAGAACGAAAGTTTCCGGATTAATCACGAAAGCGGAATGTTTTAGTACTTGCTGTTTACACACGCAGCAACGAATCCGATAGAAAATGTACTCGGTTTTAAATCTTACAGTAAGACATTTCAAGTCATCGATGTTTCATTTGTATAGACACAGGGTGATTCTCTGGTCACACACGTGACGTTGCTGTTTCTTGACTTTCTTCAGGCTTCATATTTTGACGTGTGTGACCAGAGAATCACCCTACAGGACAACAGAAAACAGTTCTTATTTTAGGCAAACTTAAATAAATGGAGTTTTTTTAACCACAGGTTTTGGGAAAAGAAGCAGACATCCTTGATCATTTACACACAAATGAAAAAAGGTTTTTGAATATGACACCTATGATACACCTTCCCAACCCAAGAAGCTCAATTTCAAGATAAGCCTGTTTAGACTCGAAAGTTTGCTCCATCAGTTAAAAAGGAAGAATTAATTCAATTAAAACCTAATAAAACCTTTGGCTTTCAATTAGCTATCATTGAAAGCATTTTCTTGTTACCCCCCAAGTCCCCTTGCAAAATTGTTTTGGTAAGGGAAAGGAGACAATGTAGGTACAAACATTGCACTTGTATGAACCTTAAGAGTGGTTTGGATGACAAAAAATGTGTGCAATTTGTTCTGAACATCCAAGTGGCTAATAACTTCCCTAAAGAATTCATAAGTATATTTAATACTGCAAAGTTTTCGGTCCGTTAACCCAGACCTTCATTAGTGCAATTACCTGACAATTGCACTGATGAAGGCCCAGGTTAACGGACCAAAAGCTTTGCAGTATTAAATATACTTATGTGGTGTACCTACAAGCTAAATTACTTATCATGTTAATCTTGTTTTGAAAAAATGTTTTGTCTAGGATGAGTGTCCCAGTTTTATGGGTTAATATCTTATTACAAATGCTACATATATTTCTGTATACCTATAAATTATGTTACCTTAAGAAATATGGTTTGACATAAAATTTGAAAAGGTTTTCTTCTATAAAATACTCTACATCTTGTGCCTACAAGAAAGGCCAGGAATTAAGACTTGAATGTTTAAACTAAGAACTGACCACAATTGTTTGAAAATGCTGCTAAATAAAACACACAATTTGGGATTAGGCAATGGAAACAAGGTTTAATTGACAATAGCAGAGGGAATGTAGTTTTTGTTGGAGAATGCCATTCATTTATGATCTAAGAGTAAAAAATGTGGGCGTCCTATTATAACCCCTCAAAAGCAATGTGGTGCAATAAATTACACATTCAATAGGGTATCCATATTTTCATGTCTAGCATCCATGCTTTCAATTAAATTGGTTTGTTTTTACATCATTATTTTCTCCTGTTGATGATGCACATCATTTTTCTTCAAAAAAATGCTTCCTCTACTGGAGTAATTATAAATCTGTAATAAATCATCTCCCCTAGCCTGGGTAGGTAAAAGAGCCTGGCTTGCGAGGTTGGCCTAGTTTGACAATGTAAGGTTGAATTTTTAACAGTTACTTAACCTGCAAGGTCTAATGAATAATGACAAAAACAGATTGTTAGAAATTTTGGCTAGATATATATTGACCCCATATTATTTTGTAATCACATTATTTGCTCGGTTTGAAATGGCAAGGGGATTTTGATGAATTTATTTCTAGCTATAACTAAATGTTAAAATATATTTATGCAACAATATGTTCCCAGAATTAAACTCTAATTAAGACTTAATCATCTGGATTGATATTCAGTTATAAAAAAATTAGGATAAAAGTATGATCTTGTTGCGACTTGAACCATGAATGTCATGTACGTATTAACTGTACAGGTATGCAAGGCTGGTGCTAATCGCATCTGGTGCTGAATATGGCCAGACTTTAATACAACCTACCTTTATGTAGGGTGTCTTCATATAAACAAACACGAATTTCTCATCTTGACCTAATTCAAATGCCGGGGTGAGCATCGAAATATTCTACAGAAATTGGACTACCACGATTGCAGTGTACAATAATACAAAACACCGCAATAAATGTTGTAAAAATGCTTAAATGCAGTTCTTTTATAATTCGTCTTTTTCTCCCACATGCATGTGTCGGAATTTGTCGGAGCGTCTCGAGAAACATTCGCTTAATGCTGCAAACGTGTCGTGTAACTTTCGTACATTGTCGACTTGTCGTACACGGTACACGTCGCAAATATTATCCTGGATAGCAAGAATTTTGTGTATAAAGAATCTTTTTTATTTTCTGAATTTTCCACATATTACCTCATATACCTAGGTGTATATATTGGTGTCGTGAATTTTTTTCACTGTGATTTCACAGCTTTACAGTTTCGGGCAGTTTAAAACACAAATCATTTTGGTCATTTTAGAATTGGATTCCCCAGCTGGTTTCCTGGAAAATCAAGGAAAACTTCCAACAACGTATGTGGCAACAACCTTCTTGAAAATCAGCAGAGACAACTTGGTCACCAGCATTTGATCAACATCCGGCAGAAAACCAAGACTTTCTTGATTTAAAATAATACAAGACAACCATCTGTAGTTATAGTAAAAGCTTCGTCCAGCTATATGGCTTTCTCTACTGCCACTCTACTTTTAACATTCTCTGTATTTGGGATGGTTATGCAAGGCGCTGTGGCGGAAATAATGCCACCACCGTTTACCAAAGTACTGTTTATACAAACGCCACCAATGACAGGTAAACTATCAATTCTATTATTTTCATATCATTCCATTCAAATGCAATTGCAGTGATGCAAATCAGCAAATGCCAACTGGCACAAATTATTTAACATTCAAAGTTCAAACGCAAATTTTCGCGTTTATCTGCAATGTCATTCCAATCTCATGTAAGGCTAAAATTTCGTTAAAAAAAATCCAAATCATAGTTTTTGGTGGTAGGTTTGGTGGGTTTTGCTCTTCGTATATGAACCATTTTATTTGAGTGGTGATCATTTACTGGTCAATTAACCAGAAATGTTTCAACATTGTGGAGCAGTACAGGAGTGTCAGTCATTGCATGAGGAAATTTCACATAATTTCACAGCCAAAGCACAAAGGCAATTAACACATACTGTGAAGAACAAACGATACTTGATAGTGGCGAGTCTAGACTTTGAGTTTATATACCACCACTAGATTTGGAAACCAAATCACGTACTTGATTGACATGAATTAAATCACATGAAACCCAAGACCAGGGTTTAAGAATGCTATAGATGAAGAGCTAATTTAAAGGTCCAATTTTGGAAACATATTAAACTAGCTACATATATAGCCCAGAACTATTTGTATATATAATTATCTTAAAGTTATTAGTTATTATTGTTCTACACACCAGTTCAAATCAACAAGGATCATAGCACAAAAATTGCAGCATTAAATATAATATTACGTACTTCCTGGAAACTTTTTATAATATATTTTTAAAACTTTTTAATCTTTTTGCAGCAACTAAACAAAGTGAAAGACAATATAGCATGCAACTATCACAGTCTTCTCTGCAGAGACTTCTTTTGTATTAAAATGTGTATATTAAAATGTGTAGTATGCGCAGGTGCGGTCTACTGGTGGGGGTCCGGTAGGCGCAGGTTGCCGCAGTGGCAGCTGAGTTTCAGGGTCAATTACACTTCAGAATGAATCTTAATTCAAATTTTAATCAAAATACCTTAATAACAACCATATTGGTTTTATTTATTTCTAAAGAATATTTTACCTACCCTGGATCTGCCACTGGATTGCCTCATTTAGTCATTTTAATACAAAATTAGATGCCTCTGCAAAGGAAGGTGGCATGCATGCAAGCATGTTTGTTTCACATGTTTTTAATTTTTCTTAAAAAAACCCTTACATTTAGAGGTGCAGCAATTAACCTAATTAGGTAGTGTTAGTTATTCAGAATGCACATTGTATAGACTATAGATCAAAATTCATTTGTAATAGATTTTCTTGGTACCTCAGTTATAGGCAAAAATAACTTTTGCTAGAACTGTTGGCTCCTTAATTAATTCCAGCCGGGATGGAAAAATGGGTATTTCATTATAAAAGTTGTTAAAATCACATGACACCCCCGAATACGCGTATTCACCAGTCAAAGAAAACCTTTTTATATTCGTCCCTCTCCCCAAGTAGAATATGTAATTAGCCTTGAATATTGAAAATACCCAAAGAACGTCATCGTTAGAAAGGCTAATTCGCCATTCCTGGTTGTTATATAGAGTACTTGAATGACATCAAAACTATAGCGCCACCACTGTTTCAATTTTTCACCCTGTTTATTCCTTTTTGAGGAAGAAATCTGTTGGCATAATACCGTTTAAACAACAAGTTTGTTTTTAGGTAAGGATGTTGTCATATTACAAAACCTACTGCGGCGATCTTACAATGTTACGCAAGTATTTGCTACAAATGGTGTGTACGACAAGCAAACAGCAATCGCTGTTGCACAATACAAGGAGGCAAACGGAATAACAGGGTATACATTTTGCTTCGTGCTGTTATATATTATTAAATTACAATTAACTACTGCACTCAATATACGGTCATTTTAAAAGTGTTAGTGATATGAATTAGTGTATTGTGCAAATATTCCTGAGATGTGGGTATTAATTAACAATTATTGGATGAGGTTGAGCGTGATGTTGAGAATTATTATATACACAAGCGCCAGGTATAAGGTATGCTGCAATTTCATTGGTTGGCTACTAGACAGATATTAGCTCATATCTGTCTAGTAGAGAAAGTAAATAAAATGGCGGAAAGATTTGGGGAGTTGAGTGAAATAGAAATCCAAGCTTTAGTTGATAATAGCACACCAAAATGCACCGAAAGCGCGACAAAGTTTGTGTATATATCAGCTCATATACGACTCGAGTTCGCAGAATAACTGTTAATTATCAAGCCGAAGTTTGCATTATTCGCCGAAGCGAAGCTGAGGCGGATAACGCAAACTGAGGCTTGATAATTCTCGATATCATGCGAAAACCGAATTCAATAATTGTTTTATTATGTATTTCCTTTTTAGAGAGGAAGCCTGTGCCATTATTGACAACAAACTAGCGGCAAAAAATTACGTCACCTACGGATGATTTTCAATGTCGTGTAGTTGGCAAGACATTGAGAATTATCTATAGGTTTTTAGCCAATCATAATCGAGATGACATTAGTAATGCATGATAATAAATTTTGTTCACATTGATTTCGAAATTTTGTGGTACAAATTTTGTGGAAAGCTATGCACTAGGTTGCATGAGGATGTTTTGGCTTACGTTAGATCAATATAATCAAATTGGCAGTTCAAGCAATATTACTTGGGACGTTTTTGCAACGAGGCTGCACGTGCGTGATAATGGTAATATATCATCAACATGTCATAAAAAATATTGCGTTTTTCAATTACCACGTTAACATCACAGCCTCTTTGGGTTAGATAAAGTGTCTTGTTCGGCATTCAGGCTGATTGCTATGCAAATTTACCTTTTAGTGACCCTTTGGTATTTGACAACGTTACAGCGGAACTTGTGTTGAAACAATTGTCTTATGATGGTTACAAAGACGATGGAAAAGTACCTCCAGGGTATAAATTTAAGGTGATCTAGATTTCTTTGTCGCGTATTCAATCAAAACTGTACAAATAATTTCACTAAGCAATTTTTTTCATTGCAAATTCGTTTTGCAGTTCCTGCTACTCTGCCCCAAGTATATTTCACCGAGACATTATAATTAGATTAAAAGGAAATAACCAGCTCGATAAAATTAGATTTATAATCGATGATCTTGAGAGGTTCGAAACCGTGGAAGAAAACGCATGTCGTCAAAATCTTTGTTGATATTGAACGACCCTCTTAGTTTTTAGGAATTGCATTCCTCTCTCTACATGCATTAATCACTTAATTATATTTTTAACAATTTCACAAATTATATCTTCACCGATACCGTACGATATCGATCGACTGGCAGTCTCTATGAAGGTAGTCATACCAAACATATTTATTTAAATCACGTCGGAATTTTTTTTTGGCAAATCGGCTTTCCTATACGGTCGCCACCGTTTATGCCTGGAATGGACAGCAGACACACTGTAGCTACGTACTGAAATATAGTCTTGAGGGGTCTGTGACTGTTCAACAACTTAGATAAATGACTTTCAAAGTAAATGTTTTTGCAAAAACATCTGTGTTTATAATTATTACGTGTATTTTTTTGTACACGTTTATTTGCATGTGCAAACATCACCTAAATTTATAGTTTTGCAGAGCTTTCGCGGTCCCTAAGTCCGAGCCATCAGTGCAAATCCATGATGATAGTCCGGTTTTACAGACAGAATTACTATTATCGCCATGCAAACGTTCACAGAACCTATGTATATTTTTTTTCCATATTTTTGCAAAAAGGAAAGTGAATCGCATGATTTAATTTTACAGATATTCATTCCGGTCCACAAAGATCGAAACATCGAAACCGAGGGAAAATTGATGGATGAAAACGGCAAGGTACAGTACAGTACAGTACAGGGCCCGGTTGTATCAAGACCGTTTAGCTTAAACGGCGGATAAGTCAAAATTAAATAACATTCTTACATCTCTCTTGAATGAGTCAACTTGAATTTTATGCACTGAATATATAGTTGTAAGCAGTATGATCTTTGTATTAAGGTTAAAAACATTTAGTTTGCTTCATGAATAAAACGATAGACTTGCTTTCTATTTAGATTTTAACCACCGTTTAAGCTAAACTGGCTTGATACAACCGGCCCCAGTACAATATACCATACAATATACCATACTCAGGGCTATTTGCTCACAACCAGATCATTTTTTCAACTTTCGAGCATTTTCTTTTATTCTTTTCACGGTTCACACGTACTATAGAGAAAGGTATTGTATGGCTGTCTATAAGTAGCTACCCAGGCGATTATTTCGCCATTTTTACACCTTTCGTTTCAGTAGCGTAGCCAGCCTGACGATTTGTCCCGCTATGTTTTTGTCCCGGTGTTTATTGACTCTGAAAACAATAAATTACTATTAAAGACATTAATAATTATAATAACTCGAAGTGCCAGCCCTTGCCGGGAAGATGATGACTTTGCCTCCCAAATTTAGGTGTTGTACGTATTCAGAGTACGTGCGCATGGATCATTGGACTCTAGTGGAAAAGCTGTAAACCAATTCACAACTAATGGAAACACACCAACTGGACTAATGGTAAAATTTATTCACTATGCAATCTCACTCTGTGTCCTCCCCTGTATTCTAAAAGCTCACTCAGACAACTGTGCTCAGACTTAGCGAGTCATGGGAAATCTCAATAACTTCATGGCTATTCCATTGGGGGAAGAGATTTTCAATTTTTTCACTAGAAATATAGTGATAACACAATTTCTATGTCGTACTCAATGAGTGTGAAGGCAAGTGATCCTTTGACTGCAGGCGTTAAAAAGTCTATTTCGACAAATTTCCATGTAGGAATCTAGGGAGTAGAGTAAAAGATGGAATACATATAAAGAGGTATTCTGTGCCTAGGAGGAACAATGCCTGAAATATGCATGATTGTGTGATAGGCTTCTACTAGAGTAAGAAATCTGGTAGTATTTGTGAGACGTGGAAGTATAGGCAAACGTCATAGCCTTTTTAAATAGGTATAGTTATGTCTTCTGGTATAGTTATTGATCACCGGTTGGTTTTTTAGCGATAATATTACTGTATGTATGTCTGTGAAGTGATAAAATCGTTATCTGTTTGGAAAAACAGGGAAATTAGTTTGGAAACATGTTAAAAAATCTTTCTTCTTTTGATAGATGTAACTAAATGGATGAATTAGGCTATGCACGTGCACACGAGCGTTGTTTTCGAGCGTTTTCAAAATCGTTTTTATCTATAGTTATTCGCTTTTACTCCTTGTCCACACGATCCCAAGGAAAATATGCCCAACATGTGAAGTTAGCTCCAAATTCTAATGTAAATTGACGGAGTTTGAAACAGTTTTGGCATGAAAACGAAAGTGAAAACGCTCTAAAACGTTACTGTGCACATATCCTTATAGTTATACTGATGTTCAAATAAGATATCTGATACACAACTAGTCAATCATAACGTAAGCAATCATAACTAATTACTCTTTCACATCTATCAAAAGAAGAAAATCGCAGCAAAGTGTAAAGGAGCCTGTATCAGCCACAGTTTCACGAGTTTTTTGTATTCTTCAATATCGTCGTTTTCGTGTTCTGACGCATTCCAAATGAATTCTATTGTAAAACTTATTTCAATTTTATGGTGAGTGATCGGTCTTCTTCCTATAGAAATGTGATCTTAACACGAAAGAACCATATCCAGCTTCTTTCGGACCGTAAGTATACCATGACCCAAGCTACACAACGAACTTTGTAATTATGCATGTGGGACGTAATCATGCCATTGAGAGTATATCCAGTTTATATTAATAGTACGAGTGATGTTTAAAAATTTTGCTAAAATTGAAAGAGCCGCCAGGGCAAGTCCAATTTGGCAAAACAATTTTCAAGCATCACGAAATAGGTTTGAGGGTAAATTTTCAAGTTTCCAAGGCCGACGTAATTCACACATTCCTGGCGGCGGCCATATTGTTTAATTTGCGTGGCATTACGTGATCAGCCGCAAATATTTTTGCAGATTTAGAATTCTGTATAAAAATAATTCTGAAGAATAAAGTCATCTTGAAATTCAAGATATGAATTAAAACAAGTAAGGCGTAATTGACTTTGGATGAAGTCGAAAATTTACACTTTAGTTCGCCTTTCTTGTTTTTATTCACATGAATTTCAAGATGGCTTTATTTTCAGAATTTGTTTCTTTTTATAGATTTTGAAATTTTAGGCTGGACATGTTTTTTAGTGTGTAATATATTGTTTGTTGTTATATTTCTTATTTAGTTATCCTGTCGTGCGAGCAGTGAAAGGATTGAAAGGTGGCATTAGATTTTTATTATATTTCAGAATACTGTATCAATCAGTTTTTTTTCTCAAAGTTGGTTTCCATTTAATCGTAATTGTCGTGAACGAGTAATTTTCACCCATCCGAAAATGTTTCACGTCATTTCGGCGGGAAAAGTTCTGTGTGCTTCTCGACCAATCAGCACTCGCGTACTATAAAGGTTATGGTATAATATCTATGTAGCTTCTTTCTGTTTAATATTCATGAATTCGACGTTATAACAGTTATATATTGTTTAAGATTGTTCTAATCTTTCACAGACTACATACTTTCACAGACTATACTGAAATACAAAATGATTTTGCAATGGCCAATACGAACGTAATCGATATAGTATGTTTCGAAAGCGATTTTTTTCTCGCTAATATTATTACTGCAACGCTTTCTGTCTGTTAACCCTTGCTGTCATAATAAAGAAAATAATCCGATTTTGACTACTTTTTTCTACTTTCAGGAAACGTGGCTATAGGCAAGAATGCCAACGATACTTTTCTTAGTAATTATAGAATCGGTATTCTTATTCACACAGGAGAATGGAAAAATTGGAATCCTTCTATGAATATGCCCAACAGGTGATAGAGTATTAATGAATAATGTTACATTTACATTTACAGTACAGTAAAATGTAGTGCAATTTCCTATGTTGATAAGTATCGTTCATATATTCAATTCCTGTATCACAATGACATTTCCATGCATTTCACCACCATGACAGGTAAATATAGTTGTATTGTTACCGAGATGGTGGAATATAATTATGGAACATAGAGATTGTTCCGAAAAAAACTATTGAAATCCCTAATTGTTATAGAATTGTTACTCTACCCATAAACAGATATTTTCCAGATACACAAAGGAAATGTATACTGTTGGGTAGTCTCGTTTAGCTCTACTGGCTGTTTCATAAACGATACCTGAAAAGGTTCTATTCGTTACTAGTTCGTGTTCAATGGCTCATAAAATGCTGGATATTTAGTTTCGAAGTTCCCGCCGGCTGATCTGAGTAAAGAAATCAACGAATGAGAAGCTAGATTCCAGTGCCTGTCCTTCTGTCCTCGGACGGTGTTTTACTGTATTAAAATCAACAAGTTTAAAAAACATCTCTGAAAAGAGTCTTGAAGTGACATGCAACAAATATAGATTTTGGCATTTTGTTTGCCCAACTTGGGATTAGGGTGTAAATAATATTTTCTTATTTACGGCGGCGATAATTGTCCATGCCGGCCTATAAAAATATTTCCAAAATAAACATCAATAGCCTCTATTCCTCATGAATTTTCCCGGTGAAAAACTATAAGTGGGCCTTTTGTAGCACGGAAATATTCCTCATTTGCGTGTCGAAAATATGTTCTAAAACTGACATGTTTACACAATAGGATGTGCCATCCAATGTTTGCCATATATAACAGTTGATTCAAACCGTGTTTTAAACTGCAAGTATTTAAACCTGATATATCTTGTGATAGAATATACAGATCGAACTGAAATATATTTAATATAAAGTCCTAGTTTTATAGTTTTTTAACGAACTAATGGTATTTTTTAGTAACGGTTGTTTACACGTCCATCCAGATTCTATGAAAAGAATCGACGAAATTCTACAGAAGGATTTACACGTGAAAGCAAATGAAAACCCATTTGGCAAGCTGCCTTACCCTTATCCTTGTCAAGGAATTATGTCGATCGAGCAGATTGATGGGTTTCCATAATCATAAAACATAAAATGATGTAGACTTTTACGTGCGTGTACGTGCGTATATGGACGATACTGTGATTAACACTCTTGCTCCCTCTTATTCTTTTCAGATTCTTAATTACTCTGTTCATTATTTAGACCTAACTATCTCAATCAACTATCATACATTCTTTCTAATTTCATCCATTTATCAAATCTATCAAAGCCAAATCATTAAAATATGTAACCCATTTCACTTCTAATCACCCTAATCATGTATTCAAAGGGCTTGTTACTGCAGAAACTATACGTTATAGTAGATTATCTTCTAGACTGTATTGATGATTGTAATTTCTTGCTGGAACTCTTTACCTCTCGACTCTACAACCTCTCTTGATTACCCTATAACTATCATCGAAGCAATACGACACAAACCGAAGAGAAATCAGTTAGAGAAAAAGAATCGGCTACCTGCAAACCATTATAAAACCAAACTCGACTAACATGCAGGAACAGATAAAATTGTACAATGTATCATCAACAAGTATCATAAAAATTGTTCAACTTGTTACTACACACATTGTTATTAACCAACCAAAATAAACTGACACAAGCTTTTTAAACTAAATGTGTAAAATCAATGTTCTATTTACTAGTCTAGCTTTCCTCTGTGGCTAATGCATGTATACCATTCTATGATGTTATTTTTAATATTTAGCTTTGCTGTTTCAAACATACAGGGATGTTTTCACGATCTATCAAAATATTTCTAATAATTGTTAGAAACGAGGTATTCCTAAAATTACGGGAATCACTGAGTATTTTAGAATATAAAACAATAGAAACTCCGTGAAAAGTAAATATTCTGAAAAATATAATTTTCGACGTTTGGCCTAAAATTTTTACTTTCTACGGAGTTTTATATGGGTATTCCTAGTTATAATTATTTAACCTTAGTTACGATAAATGGAAGTTTAGACCTTTTAAATGTTAAATAAACAAGATTAATATTTCACGTTCCTGCTATTTCACAATTAGGTTGGTATTCCTAGTTACGATTACTTCAAATTTCTTATTTGAAAAACAGCAACAAAAAGCTATTGTCACCGGTCGGTGACTATCACTTCAGAGACAGTGAATCTTGACCAATCAGAATGCAGGAAAATCAACAGTAACCTCGAAATTTATACCAAAAGATGTTAGTAGAGCGAATTAAATGGTGTTATACTCCCACTGCTCTTTCCGGCACACAATGGTCAAGATGAGGGTATTAAGGCCTGATTTTCACATGTCGTAATTCATCGCCGATGGCCTACGATCTATTGTCGGTGATCAATGAAGTAAAATATTTTCTTCGATAGACAAAGGATTTTATGCATCAATGACCACCGACAATGGCCATCGCTGATAAATTACGACACATGAAAATCAGGCTTAACAATGGGGGTTAATACCATCCTCGTCCCCAGGGCCTAGCTCCGTTGCTCTGAGAGCAACGGAGCTAGGCCCTGGGACGAGGATGGGTTAATACTTTAACCACCGGGTGTTAATATAACCGGAAGTCGTGACTTTGAACCTCAGCCGAATAAAAAGTAATAAAAGGTATCTATGCCTACGTTTTTGTCGCGCATTTTCACCGGTTGTTTCCTTACGTATACGTTTCCTTTGAACCTACTTGCTATATATTCTGCGATTAATGGAAATATGTAAATGATGTCACTGCTTCCGAAGTCATAGCCAAACATGACAACTCAACAATCCAATCAGATCTTGATTATATGTCCTCTTAGTCCTCCGCAAATTATATTAAGTTAAATGTGAAAAAATGTAAAGAGCTTGGGATAGCTTTCTTCCGTGATGCACCTATGTTAGAACGTACCGCTAAGTATTGACGGAACAGCAATAGCCACTGTTGACTGCCACAAAGTTTTTGGTACAGTATTAAATAGCTCGCTAAAATGGGCTGGTCATGTTAATATGATTACAAAGAAGGCAGCTAAGCGCCTTTACATTATACGCACCTTTAAGAAAAGCGGTATATGTCCGCAGATGATTTGTTAATTTATATAATGCACTCATTTGTTCGGTCTTAGAGTACTGTTGCGCAGTTTGGCACATGCACTAACCTACCATCGTATCTTAGCGAACAAATTGAACGTTTGCAGAGGAGAGTTTTAAGAATAATTTACCCGAATTTATCACACAGAGAAGCATGCACTGTCTGCTGCAGATTGCGTAAGGACGAAAACAGACAACGTCTGTGCTTTAATCTCCTCCAAAAGATGAAGTTAAACACTGATAACAAACTCAATACGAATAATTTCGGCAAAGTGTCTTTCGGCAAAAAGTCCGGCCACCATACCTATATAATGCTAGGCTCAGTGAACAAGGTCGCGATCATTCCGTAACTCTGATAACTTTTCTATTTTTCAAATGTAGTACGGATCGATTTAAACTCAGTTTCTTTCCAGAGTTAACCCAATATTCTAACAAATATGCAGTCAATTAAAATATTTTTTAACATATGTAGGACAAAATTAATAGTATCTGTCCAAATGGTCAATATTTCAACAATATTTATATAGTTATTTATAATCGTTTTAACTTTTTGTAATATTTAATGCATGCATGTATAGGAGACAATAGCGTATTTAAATTATCCAGTTATTATATTTTTGTGTTTAATAGAGTTACAAAGCTAGACCATTTACAATACTTGTAAATATAAAGTATTTCACTTCTGTGCAATTTTATATATTTAATAAATCTTTAATAGTATACCTGCATGTATATTTTAATCATTAGGTATCAACTGGAAACTTGCCATTAGCTATCGCGTGTTCATGCAGAGAGTTAAAATCGCTCAAGAGGGAGAATGTATGTAATTGCTGTGGCGTTTTCAAAAGTGCCTCTCTTAATTAAAAGTATCTCCAGATACACCATAATCTCTTTCTGTATAACATGTAATAATATACTGTACTTATACCTTCATTCGTATTCTCCCCGGCTTTCTCGGCTACATTAATGCATGGTGCATATACTCTTCACGATTATGGACCACAGCAAACCAACAATGCGTATTGCTGAATTATTGGTTCGCTCTGGTTTTAAATGAATACGAAAGAAAAATTCGAAACATGTGAAATTTGTGCAATTTTCAAATTAACAGATCCCGCTTTGCTAAGAGCTGAATCGATACACACGTTGCCATTCGCAGGTAATAAATTTATTTTGTTTCAAATCCCGTCAATTGACCGTATCTTTAAGAGGCCATGATAATAACTTCCTTGCTCTTGAGGGTCGGAACTTTTGCAATCTAACTGCAACGACTTCCTAAAAGTGCGATGTATAATATTGTGGAATCATAGGTTACTCGAAACAGCTAGGGCTTTTTAACAACTAAGCACCCGTTAGGTTTAAATTTATAATTAACTAAATTGTTTTCAAATTGCATGACCACAGTGTCTACTTCATCGCAGATATACACGTTATGAACAGCCCCCAACTAATAAGGTCCGCCTAGGCCATTTTTGTTTCCTATTATTACGTATTTTTTATTTCATATAGTTCGTAAAACTAACACAACTGCATGATAGAAATTTAGTTTATGTGGATCTCAAATGTCACAAATAATATGTCTGGGTTTTGAGTGCAAAACTAAATTTTTGCAAATAAATGTAGCGAACTTTTTGTAACATCCCGGGGAAACAGTTGCCTTTGTAATTTAATTGATCAATATCATAAGTCAAAATAAGTCATCCAACAGTCTTTGTTGAAACAAAGATCGCTCATCGAAATAACAAAAAGAAAATTTTTGCAAAAAATGTAGGGAACTTTTTGTAACATCCCGGAGAAACAGTTGCCTTTGTAATTTAATTGATCAATATCATAAGTCAAAATAAGTCATCCAACAGTCTTTTTAATGAAACAAAGATCGCTCATCGAAATAAAAAAAAGAAAATTTTTGCAAATAAATGTAGGGAACTTTTTGTAACATCCCGGGAAAACAGTTGCCTTTGTAATTTAATTGATCAATATCATAAGTCAAAATAAGTCATCCAACAGTCTTTTTGATGAAACAAAAATCGCTCATCGAAATAACAAAAAGAAAATTTTTGCAAATAAATGTAGGGAACTTTTTGTAACATCCCGGGAAAACAGTTGCCTTTGTAATTTAATTGATCAATATCATAAGTCAAAATAAGTCATCCAACAGTCTTTTTGATGAAACAAAGATCGCTCATCGAAATTTCTCGTTAACAAAAAGAAAATTTTGGCAAATCCGAGCTGCATGGATTCCATAATCCATAAGAGAGATCCGTGATTTCGCTAAAACATAGCTTTTTAACAAATAAGCACCCATTAGGGTTAAGTTTAACTAAATTGTTTTCAAATTGACCACAGTATCTGTCCTATAGCAGATATATACGTTATGAACAGTGCCCAACTAAGACGATCTGTCTATAGGCCTCTTTTGTTTCTTATTATTACGTTTTTTTATTTCGTAAAACTAACACAACTGATAGAAATTTAGTTCATGTGGATCCCAATTGTCACAAATAATATGTCTGGGTTCTGAGTGCACATCTACCAATTAATGGAGAATTAATCCAGCCCAACATTCCAACGTTTTAGATACACTTTGAACCACATAAAATATAGGGATTTGCTAAGCCACCAAGCCTATTACTTATTATGAGCAGAATCATTGATCTCATGCATATCCTGCATATTTTATTAAATAAGTATGAACTGGCACTTAAAGAAACTTGCCATCATCGCGTGTTCATGCAGAGAGTCAAAGTCACTCTTTTTGTCCGGCAAGAGCCAAGAGGGATAATGTAATTGCTGTGGCGTTTTCAAAACTGCATATCCTTCCTTTGATTAGGAAACATCTAGGACTATAGATACACCGCAATCTCCCATAACATATAAAAATATACATGTACTTATGCCTCCATTCTTATTCTCATGCTTTCATTTCATCTACATGCATGATACAAAATTACCCAAAGAGATTTCTTTGGCAATGAAAATTAGGAACTTTTTACAACATCTTGGGAGACAATTGTGTAAATCATCTAATGGATCAATATCGCACGTCAATCATCGAACAGTCTTTTTGATGAAACAAAGATCGCTTATCGAAATTTTTCGTTAACAAAGAGAAAATTTTTGTAAATAAATCTAGGGAACTTTTTGTAACATCCCGGGGAAACAGTTGCCTTTATAATTTAATTAATCAATATCATAAGTCAAAATAAGTCATCCAACAGTCTTTGTTGAAACAAAGATCGCTCATCGAAATTTTACGTCAGAGGATATCACGTCAGTTCCTCCATATAGATTTTAAACCACGAAAGATTCCTTATAAAAGTCTCTGCATTTCTCTAAAGCTGATATAAGATCGTGCCAATAGTACAACTACATCGCATGTACCAGTTTAAAAATGGCGTTTAGCAAAAGTTCACGAAATATCAAAATTCACGATTCTGTCCTCAGTGCTGATTGCCAAGACCTTCAAGGGTTCTATCAACCTTCTACACTTAATCTGAATGACTACATTGCTAACGAGGATGGTTCCATGGTCTGGAGGAAAGGAGGAAACTTTTGGGCGAGTTCCAGAAACAGCAGCCTAACTGATCCCGCGATTTTGCACGCTGAATGCAGAAGAATTGATGGGTCTTACGCCTCCAGCCAAATTGATCTAGATCAGAAGATTGCCAACATTGATGGAAAGTTGACATTCTCTGCCTAATCGCAGTAAAACTATTCACGGTATTCGACCTCTAGTTGCAGAAATAATCTTAGTAAAATTAGTACACACTAAACATTTAC